ACCCCACCTCCCCCGGCCCCCTCCCCATCACCCTGGCGGTCGATCGCGTCATCGTGAGGCGCAGAGACGACGGCGTGTTCTATCTCACAGGTCAGTGCTGTCCAGAACCTTGTTTTATTGTCCCCTGCACCCCCAGGCCGTGCTGGGGGAGACTGGAACTGAGAGGGGATGGTTGGACGAGCTCGTCTCACTCAGACAACAAACTCTGTCCCTCACGGCCAATCCCCACAGCAGTGAACTGGCAGCCTGAATCCATACCTGGTGTTTCCTGGAGCACACGCAGTCAGGACCCATCACTGCCTCTTCCCTTGCTTTAGTCTCTCCGTTTTGAAACGGGAAAGAGAATTTTCTTTCCCTGTTCGAAAAGAGGAAAAAAAAGAAGGAAAGAAGATACAAAATTACTCTTTTTGCCCTGGGAGCTCTGTTGTGTGAGTGTCCACACCTGAACTCGTTCTGTTGCTTTCCAGCTCCACAGGGGGAGGACGCACCAAAACAGGAAGAACCTGTGTCAGTTCCCGAGGAGCAGAAGGTCCCAGCAGAGTCTGTCCCAGCAGCAGCACGAGGGCAGCAGGTGAGTCACTGCCGCCCGGTGCCGCCTGGACAGCGACGGAGCTGGCAGGGGCTGGGGGTTCTCCTGCCTTTGTGTGTCTGCAGTCCTGGCAGGAGTAGGGAGCTCCCAGAGCAGCAGCCTCTGCCTCCTCTTACAAGTGTTCTGAGGAGTGAGGGCACCTCACCCTCTTGTTCCCTTTTGGAAATCTGGTGGGTTTTGCTGATTGGCTCCATCAGAGGTTCCCACAGAGAAGTTGTGTCACATTGTGTGATTCATCTCTAAAGCTGCTGCTCTGGTTTTCCTCAGAGCAGGTCACTGTGCACCTGGAAACTCCTGTTTTGTTCTGCTTGTCTTTTGCAGCTGAAACAAGTGCCAGAGTTGCAGAGGGAGCTTCAGACCATGAAACTGGCGCTGGCAGAAGCCAACATGGACAAGGCTCGACTCCTGCAGGAGGTCCAGAAGTACAACCCCCTGTTCCAGCTCTGACAGTGCCGGCACAGGCCGCGGCTGCCCAGGGATGGGACCAGCACCAGCACCACGGGGGCAGGTTGGGTTCTGTCAGTGCAAACCTGGGCTGACTGCCAGAGACTGGAACCGGCCGGGACTGCAGCGTGAGCTCGGGAGGGAGAGGGAGGGAGAGGGGAGGCCTGGCCGGAGGGGAGGCCTGGCCGAGGCAAACAGGGACGGAGCGAGGAGGTTTCTGTCTGCAGCCACTTTGCTGTGTCCTGGCTGTGTGGTGCCGCCTCTGCCTCTGACACAGGGTCAGGTGTTGGGGGGACACCCCATGTCCCCTCATCTGTGGGTGGCAGCGACAGTGCTCACAGCCTTCACCTTTCATGGTAACATCCAGAGATGGTCCATGTGGGGATTTCTGCTTTTACGCCCTGCCTTGCTGTGTCGCCAAAGGACGTGGCAGAGGGAGGGAGGGAGCTCAGCACCTGGGAGTGCCAGGACAGCGTGACAGAGGCCACCGCGCCGCGCTCTGCCGGGAGAGCAGCTGTGCTGTCACCTGGGCACAGACACCTGGGGGTGTGGAAGGGATTTCCCCCGGTGGAGTAAGAGGATGCAGCTCACTATTCCCTCAAGATCAGGGTCAGGATAGTAAGGAAATTCCTTCTGATTTCCCACTGGCAAATTCCTTGTGTGGAGACAGATTCAGTGCATGACACTTAATCCAGTTCATTCTCACTTAATCCCACAACATTTGGCTTTATTGATGCAGAAACACAAAGGAATCAATTCCTTACAAGGCACTGTTTGAACTTGCTTTAATTTTACTGTCACAGAGCAGGTGCAGGGAGCTGGTTCAGTCTCAGAACGAGGTGACCCGTGTGTTTTGGGATGCACGTTGTCCTCAAAGCTGTGTGTGCCTGAGTTCCACCAGAGGGGAGGGAGAGCAGCCCCACGGGGCCTGTGTTCCTGCCCCATGTGGGGATTTGTCAGCACTGAGCAACTCCCTGGGTGCAATGTCTTCCAGCAGGGCATGGGACAGTTCCAGAGCTGCCAGGCCTGTTCCCGAGAGGAAAATGCACTTTATCTCTGTCAGTGGCATTTCCTTCCCCAGCGGTGCCTCGTGCACAGGGCTCAGCAGCGAGGGCAGTGCTGAGATGTCAGACACCTCCGGAGTGAACACCTTGCTGTGAGCAGCATTCGGGCCAAGGAAGGAGGTACCAAATCCTCTCTGGATCCGGGTGACTGTGGAACATTCCCTGTGGAGCAGCTCCACCAGCACTGCCAGGAGCTGCCCAGAGCCCCGAGCAGGACTTGGACTTTGGCCGAACCTCTGTGCTGCGGTGCTGCTCCCTCTCCCCCTAGGGAGCAGGAGCTCTGGGACTGCTTATCTGAAGTGGAATGCAGTGGGATGCCTGCTTTTTCTTCACTAATTGCTTGGAAATGGGAGATTTCTCTGCTGCTTTTTCTGTTTTTCATGACGTTCGTGTGAGTAGGGGAACAGAAGGGTGTGAAGGTTTGCTCAGACCTGGTGCCTACCTGCAGTGTCACTCCTCCCACGTGTGCAGGCTGAGCACAGCTGGGACAAGTTGTTTACAGCAAGTTTCTTGCTCCAGCCACTTCAGTCAGTGGGTTTTGTTGAGGAATTCAGGCACTTCCTTTGCTCTGAAGTCCTAGTAAAATACTGTAACCCAAAACCCACACACATGGGAGGACAAAACCTCCTGATCTCCACAGATCATGAGCAGCAAAGTTTACTTTGGGGAGCCTTTGGTTCAAGGACTCTTCCTCTGTCCCAGGAGAGCCCACTGGGTCCTGAGGAGCACTTGGCCCTGGCACCTCTCACAGACCAGGGGCAGCTCCCAGGGCCTGTGGTGTGGGCAGGTGGGGAATGTGCAAGGCTGGACTTCAATTTGAGTCTTGGGAAGTATTGAACTTGTTTGCAGGATGTTTCACTGATGTGTTTATTGGTTCTATGAACCATGAGAGAAATTAAACTTGTTAACCTCCTTCCAGGCAGGCTCTGCCTCTTCTTCTCCATCCCCCTCCCAGTACTGTGGTTTCTACACAGTTCCATAGGCTTGGGAAGCAGAGCTGAGGATGGCTTGAGTCCTCAGCTTCCAGCGGGTGTTCCCTCACTTCTGCCCAGGGAATAGGCCCTGCCCCGGGCCAGGAGCCGCTCTGGGAGCTGAGGCACACGCTCACCCTGCACTGCCGACCCCAGGACACAACAAGCAGTTCCCAACCAGGCTAAGAACGCTAACAAGTTTAATGTACAAAAAAGCCACACATCTGGGCCAGCAGAAAACAGCCCCGGGGCACAGATGCTCTGAAGGCTGGGGGTGTTCTCTCCTGCTGTGTGGAAGGAGAGGAGCCCCAGCTGCAGGTCAGGGTGGCTCCTGGCGCTGCCCAGCGCAGGGTCGAGCAGGGGCAGCAGGGCCTGTCCCAGGGGCTCCACGTGCCCTCCCAAAGGGCCTCAGGCTCGAGTCCTTTTCTTTCTGCTCTGGGCCGCGTCAGTGGAAGATGATCTTCTTGTACTTGGAGTTGGGGATCTGCCCTCGTGACTTGAGCCTGCGCACGGCCTCGCGCATGTGCTTGGGCTGCAGAGGGGGCAGCTCCCCCCACTTCTCACACACGTCCAGTGCTGCCAGACAGAGGCCAAGGGAGAGACACCTGAGCCTCAGCTCCTGCTGCTTCAGCTCCAGTTTGAAAGGCAACAAGTAATGTTTTTGTCAGGGTTTACAGCTCCCACTTTGCTAATGCCCAGGAGTGAACCTGCTCTGTGAGCCCCTCCCCGAAAGGACAGGAGTCCTGAGACACTGATGCCAACCAGGACAGACGACAGGCCATGCTCCCTGGGAATCCA